CCTCCGTTTTTTTTTAATGGAAAGTGTGACAGCGTCAGTTGGAAAGGGTGCAACACCCACGTTGTTGCAGTTTCATAATACAAGCGCAATCTTAGTTTCAATAGGTTAATAATATCCAAACGAACCTGGTGGCTTGCAGCGGCAGAGATTAGAATAAATTCGTTTTTCATCAGATCGCCAGAGATTGGTAAGGGCAATATATTCCAATTATCTAACAAGCGTGAAGCGCGAATGTATCTTCCTGACTGTGGGGTTTACCCATCTTCCTGTGGATCTCACAATGAAATGTAATGCAAATTGGTTAACTGAGTTAGCGGCAAATGGATTTAAATTCACTGTTTGCGGTTATTTCAGTTCACGATTGCCATTCCTTTCCAAAAGGGGGATTGGCATAAATCGAATCCTCTGTGCTACACAAAACTTATCCTTCAGAAGACTGAAAACCGGCTACGAGTACCAGACAGCTCACGTGATACAGTCTGTTTGATGAGTTCGACCATTGATTTGCATACAATTTAGACAATGCGGATGTGTGTGTGTGCGAGGATCGGATCGATCTAACGTTTACCGCGACGATATTCTTTGTGGAAAATAAATCATTCATTAAACTCTCAAGGTGGAATGGTTCGAGTAATATTCCACATTATCTGGTCTACATCGGGGTGGTGGCAGAAGTGAAGTGGTCAAGGTCAGCCCGAAGGTTAAGTATTCAAACCCCGCCACCACCACCACCACCGAACTTCAATACGTTTGTATTACATGACAGACCCTAGATTGGCGCCTCTTCCTTCCCGAAATAATTGATTGCACAATTAGGTATGCAGTAAAAGGGAGTAATAGAATAGGAGAAGGTTATTATCCACCATTGATCCGAAGTTGTGACTGCAGATATGTTTCAACCTGCACTGCTATGACCATTATGAATGTCTCCTGCTTTACCCTGTCACTATTCACAACAGGGTTTCAAAAGTGAACAAATGGAAAAACAAGAAGAAAATCCGACTAAATCTAGACCAAACGACAGATATTAAATTAGATCCTAGGGACACAAAACGCAGTGAAGATAAATCTTGGACACAGATACTAAAAGACACAAATACGAATGAGGAGACAAAACAAAACTAGTACACACACGCAAAGCAGCTCAGTGAGCTTTCCTAGTTGACAAGGGCAGTAATTCAACGGTGCGGATAACACGTGTAACTGACAAATCGACGCGTCTCGTGAGCAAAAAAAGCGGACCAAATCGACTCACGCGTGAGAAGTGAACAAATCGAATACACGCTTGATCCAGTTGTTTGATAGCGTCAACAACATCCGGTAGTGCATGGTACTGCATACTAATCAGACCGAGAAAGATTTGATTGTCTATCAACGTTTGCCACGCTTCACCATCTGCTTGAGTTTGAGAACTGCGTGGTGGGGAGGTTGGACAAGTTGACCGATGGAAGAAAATACGGAGTTTAGTGACAGAATTAACGACAAAGTTGGCAGAAAAGTAGGCATGCAGGGGAAGTTGTTTATCAGGAGAACATGTCTTTGATGAATTCATTCTCAAGACCGTACAATCAAATTAAACAGGGTAGAAAAACAAGAGGGATGACTCGCAATGAGTCAAAAATCATTCCAAATGAGTGACATGCTCAGATCATGCAATCAAAGTCAGTCGTGTCAAATTATTGTTATGAACAAGATTTTCTTTTTCTGGTCAGAAGACTTGGAGCCAGCTTGCGTTGTGAACACAGTTCAGGCTTCAAGAGACAGACCGCAATCGACTCCGCGAGTGTTGACGTCTAAAACCTGATTGCTCCCGGGAGTTAAAGTGAGACTCCACACCTAGGCTTGGAATGTTTACAACCGAGACATAACCCTGGAGGCTAGTGCTGAGGTGCGCGAGAAGTGATGCCCGCAACAAAATTCCAACGATGGACTGTGCTGTAGCGCGTATAAGCAAAGCGACAGGCGGTCAACATAGCTACTCGTTGGTCGAATTGGTGGTATAGTTGCGTTCTATCTGCAACAACTCCGGTTCGATCCTCTGTTGTTTCGATGGATTTGCTGACGAGAAGCAACCAGGTCAAAACAGCTGTACAGTGTTTTCTGGTTTTCCAGTTCACGCCGCGTTTGCCCTGTACACGAATCGTACGACCAAATACCTGGAAAGTCTCATCGGGGAAGCGTGCAACGTGTGCAACATCACTTTAGTAGCCCGACGCAAGTCACGAATGTCTTCAACTCTTGTATCGGAAAAATCTACTGAGTTGAGCAGTAACGGAGGCGTCGCCACACAAGAATGCACAAATGCGCGATTAATTACTGTGGAACTTTGAACTATCGCAGGCCTAAAGCAAAGAAGTTGAAAAGCCGAATCATCATGAAGGTGTCTTCCATGTGCAAAGACCGCGTTGGATGTTGGCTCATACAGACAAAGTAAATGGTTTCGGAAGTGGAATTCAAGTCCGGAAGAATAAGCGATCGGTTTGCAACGCACGAGCATATTAATGGCATAAGCTTAATAATAAAATAAAGAATGGTTTACTTCAAGCCGAGTCAACTACTTCCCAAACCCCATGAAACACGCGAGCGACCGATTTCAGTCAGTCGTACTCTCAATCCATCCGTCTCTAGGGATCTAAATCTATCAGTTCACGTATGGCTGATGAACCTGAGGACTTCCTCTCCAAGTGTTTCCAGTTATGTACCGTTGCAGCTTCCTTTGCATTCCTTCCAGTCCGACTGAAGTGACAAACTCAATAAACCTTCTCAATCTTGGCCGGCATAGCTGCTTTGAACAGCGCAATATCCCACCGACGTAATTGCAATAAACAGTAGCATCTCTATCGATAACCAGTCCGATAAATTTTGGTCTTCTATCTGGCATATGTAAACGCGCAATCAGTCAGACGTGAATTGAGGCTGGTTCTTCTTCGTGGTTGTCTGGGTGGTTTGCGATCGGCGGTCATTCAGTTACTCAAGTGTGTGAATAACACCGTGAACAGAGTTTCATCCCTACGACAATTGTGTTGATCTATCATTAGACCTCGAGGTCTAGTTTCAGTTTGTAGAAAAAATAACCTAGCCCGTTTGTGCAATTGACATGTTTGTCCCGTCTGATAAGTTAACGGCAAACAATCCCTGGGGGGAGGGGGCAAGAGAGCTGCCCATGTAATTAATTTGAATTCCGTATACTCACCTCTTGGTTTGATCGACAATCGGATGCACAGAGAGCATCTGATGCAACTCGGTGTGCTTGGATTCCAAGGATGCGGGGAAGAAGCCACTGGAACTGCTTCTAGGAAGTGTCCCAAGAGGTTTGGCACGGTGATTCAGCCGATGCGGGAGAGCGAATTTCGATTTGAACAAGGAAACAGACCTATTCTCCATAGTTCGGCAACCCCACAGTAAGGTCTGGTGCATAGCTGAGGTGATTGGTGTCCCTGTAGTTGGGTTTGGTGTACGCGGTGTTGCAAATGCAGATTGTGTATAGCTGGCCTCTGACCAAGACGGATGCCAGGGTGTTAAACCAGTTGGTAGTGGAACAGTGTCCGGAAGACGTGCACTGGCTGGACGCGACAATCTGGTTGGATTGCGGTGGTCATGGAGACCGAAGGTTGAATGATTTTCCTCCGTCCAATCTGTTGGTTTCCACTAATCCGTATAAAAACCAGAGGATGAAGAGGATTCGGAAGAGATAACAGTGAACAAAGTAAAAATATAAAGAACAACGCAAAACTTACGACTATCGGTACCCAATGGACTATATCGTAAAAATACACAGAATCCATATGGGAGGCGGGAGATGTCAGGGTCATCAAACATTTCTGCAGATAATAGCGATATGTTAAAAGAATACAGTACTGCATTACATGTCGTGGAAGACACCTGAAGCAACATTACAATAACCACTATGTGCAGAATAGTGCGGCGATTACGGGAGATATCAACAGAACAGTTAAAAAGAAACTTGTTTTTGGTAGCTTTCGTTGTCGAAGTGGATGAGACTTGGACGTCGTAGTGGTGGTCAATCGGTTAAGGTCATTTCGATGAACGTGCTCCAAACTAAAACCGGAGGTTCGAACCTATTCACTGCGAACGAATTTCAATGATGGGTAGCTTCGCTGTCGTTCATCTCAATAATACATCCGTTGGGCCAGATGTGGTCCATTATTCCAGGTCTCGGGGCTTAGGAAGCCCGTTCCCAAAAGTGATGATGAGGTCACTCCTTCTAATGCTCTCGCACAAGGATATGTAAAGGGGGGAAATATATACGGTAGATCTATTGAAAGGATATCGAACTGAGACATCTGGTACGTCATCGCAACACATGCTTCTGCGAAAAGGGTTACATATATTCCTCGGTAATTTGGTGATTATAACACCGGCACCGGCATTCTTTTCGTAGACTCACCATTTTTATTTTCCTCGATCTAAAAGCGGCTTTCGACTCAGTCGACCGCTCTAAACTCTCGCGCTGCCTTTCCCTGAAAGGGAGTGCCCGAGAAGTTTATTTCAATATTACAATCCCTCTACAATGATAGCCGAAGTTGAGTCCGAGCTTACGGCACTTTTTCACCCGAGTTCAATACAGAAAGTGGCATTCGACAGGGTTGCCCTCTTTCTCCTTTTCTATTTAACTTTGTCATTGATTTAATTCTTGAAACAGCCCTATCCTCGTGCGAGGATGGTGGTATCGATTTACTCCCAGGTGACAAACTGTCTGATCTGGAGTATGCAGACGACATTGTGCTACTAAGTGACGATCCAGGCAAGTTGCAAGCATTTCTGGATAGTTTGAGTGCTAATGTGTCCATGTTCGTAATGCGTTTTGCACCTTCAATGTGTAAAATGTTACTACAAGACTGGGTTGGTCCAGCACCCAGCCTCACTCTCACTGGGGAAGTAATAGAGGAGGTGGATAAGTTTTGTTATCTGGGCAGCTACATCTCACCCGGTGGATGCATCACGGATGAAGTGTCAACTCGCATACAGAGGGCTCGGTTGGCATTTGCTAACTTGAGACATCTGTGGCGCCGTCGCAACATCCGGCTGTCTCTGAAGGGTCGAGTGTATGCCGCGACAGTTCGGCCAGTTCTGCTATGCGGTGCAGAAACTTGGCCATTAAGAAAACAAGATAAAGACAGACTGTCGGTG